AGGCAGCCAGAGTGCAGGGTGTGCTCATTTGTCATTTACCAGTACACACTGGAACTGCAGTATGCAATACAAAAAACCATAGCAGTTAGCTACAGACACCACACATTACAGTACCCTGCAACAGGGCAAATGGCTGGCATCCTGAGAGGAAGGCAAAGATGGACTCTAACAAGGTCACCTTGTCACAACCTGCATTAGGGCAGTGGGCAGAGGTGCTGGAACAATTTGTATAGTGGGGTGCTGTAAATCCTGTCTATGATGGAAACCACTTCAAGTTGGGGGTGCTTTTGTGTTTTTGAAGAAAAATGATGAAAATGAAAATTTGTGGGTTTTAAAAAATTCTTAACAATTGTTGTTGTTATTTTTGGAGGGTTCCCTCACTGTTACAGTGTTACTTTCTCACATATTTTTAGTCCCCACCCCCTTTTAAGTGGAAAAAAAAGGGAGGGTCCCCCCCCCACACACACACTTTCTCTAAAACCCCCTCCTCCCTGGAGATCCTTAAAAACCCTTGAAAAGCCAAAACATTTTTGTTGTTGTTGGACAAATGAAAAGTAAACATGAAAACCAACAAACGAAACAAAAACTACATTCTGTTTTTTGACCATCCCAGACTTTTGCAACATGTTTGCAAAGTGCTTTGCGCTCCTGAAATGGAAGATAAAATGGGGCTAATCCTGCCCCCCACCCCCACCCAACCCCAACCCCAAATGCAGGACTACCAGGCTCAGAAAGCTAAGTTACCATGGTAGTGGTCCATGTGGGGTGTCGTGTCATGGAGAGGCTATGCAGGAAGCCTCCACAACCTCTGTGCAGGGCACTGATCCATTGATCTCTGCACTGTTGCAGGACGGGGGATTTGACTACGGACATGGGATTTGCAAACTATACACTGACACTTGCTTTAAAAAATATATTGGTTTTAAGGAAACATTGTTCCATGCGGCTCTACTGTATACAGGTAATAACTACCTGGGTCGTATGTCACATACTAGTGCAGAGTGCTTCTGTCTTTTGGCTCATCAATCCAATGGCTTCATACATGTGTCATTTGACATGCAACAGGCAAAGGGACACATCAGCAAGTCCCCGGGAATTTTAGAGCGGTTACATTTTTTAGAGCTGTTACATTTTGAAATACACGGTATAAAATGCCAACATTTTCAGAAATAGCCTCCAATACAGTGTGAGCGTAATTACATCTGTTTGGAAGCCCCACTGCCTGATTTACAGATACAACCAGGTAATTAGGTCTTTAAATGGATACAGCTGGAAGTGCCATTATTTCCACCTGCAGTAATGGAGGCTGGGGTGATCCCCAGCCAAAAAAACAGAGCCAAAATGTTTAGGTTTTTCTTGAGAAAATTCACTGTTGTCTGCATGCTTTCGAAAGGACAGACAGGCCTTGTCCCCATAGGAAAGTTCTTTGGTATAAACTAAGTTGTGAACTGAAATCGATATAATTTTACCAGTATAACCCCCATGAGGATACAGTTGTTCCAACATAAACCATCTGTTTGATAGGGGAGTTGGAGAAGGCTGAGGGTTTGCTTCCCATAAGGATGCAGGGGTGGAAAGGAGTTTCAGGCGGTGGCTGTGGGGTTGAGTTCCTGTTGGGATGATTATTTTAATGCTGCTAAGATTTCATTGGGCAGCTGGAGCCCTTGGACAGGTGTCTTTTTATCATCTGAAATCTAAAGAAAATAAACTAAACCAACCCCCCGCACACACTTTTATTTATGTTGCTTATGGGGTTTAAGCTAAACCAGGGATCGGCAACCTCTGGCACACAGCTCACCAGGGTAAGCACCCTGGCGGGCTGGGCCAGTTTGTTTACCTGCCACGTCGGCAGGTTCGGCTGATCGCGGCTCCCGCTGGCCGTGGTTAGCCGTCCCAGGCCAATGGGGGCGGTGGGAAGCCGCGGCCAGCACATACCTCGCCCGCACCGCTTCCCGCAGCCCCCATTGGCCTGGCACGGCGAACCACGGCCAGTGGGAGCCGCGATCGGCTGAACCTGCTGACGTGGCAGGTAAACAAACTGGCCCGGCCTGCCAGGGTGCTTATCCTGGTGAGCTGCGTGCCACAGGTTGCCAACCCCTGAGCTAAACCAAAAAAAGCCACACCTACTCTGGAATAAGAGTGTCCACATGGAGGTCAGTTTAAATTCACACCTTAGGTTATACTGAACAAACTTCCTGGCCCCAGTCATTGAACTCAACCCAATACCTCTTCACTTCCTCAGTGAGGACAGATCTTGGTGGGTTAAACTGCATGGAACAGTTCCTTTGGGAAGGATCCCACGACTGTACTGCTGGGTTGCTTTCTATAATGTTATTATCTGCATTATATGAGTGCCCTGATTCCGAGTCCGACTTTCCTTTGTTTATTTGTTTGAGATTACCAGTATAATTTTGGCTCAAACTCCAAATCAACTCAGATTGCCGAGCAAGCGTTATGATTCAGCTGCCCCACACCCAAAGGGGCTCTTTGCATCTCATTCTGCACAGAGGTAGGTTTCTTTCCCTGGGTCCCTAAAATAATTGAATTTGGAGAGTGGCAGAGTTGGCTTGGATGGTACTTTAGCCCTTGAAATGTAGTCTGAGTGCTTATTTAGGTTAAGGAAATTTGCACTACCTGTATATTGATTCCCTACTTCGCACTAGTGCAAAGTGTTTGCATTAAGGGTTTGCTTTGATGCAAATTTCCCTAGATTAGACAAGTCCTGAATTAGAGGTTTTAGAAAACTTTAAATATATTTTATGCATAAATAACAATTGTATTAATGGAATATCTGCAGTATTGTTTATATAAATAATGTTTTAATTTAATATTTAGTCAAGAGACGTGATGATATACATAATGTACCATCTTTCTTGTACCGATATTACCCAGATCTTGCTTCTTGCTTTCTAGCGCAAGGTTTTGGGTGTGGGTACACACACA